ATGCGGGTTATTCATGGACCAAACGTCACTTCCGGAAAGTTACGTGAAAAGTTACAAGAGTTTGTAAGTCCACGACTTACAAGAGTTTTGAGAATACCGTGTAAGTCTAAGATACAAATTCACGTAAATAGTTACAAATTGTTGTAAGTTACAAAGTTTTGAGAATACGGCCCCTGTGATATATATATATATATATATATATATATATATATATATATATATATATATATATATACAATGTATGCCGTCAAATATTTCTTTAAAAAAATTAAAAATCCAGGGGATTTTTCTGACCCTGGCCTGGGCATAGGTCTGTGCAGTAGAAATAATATACAAACATTTGTCTAACATCTGCGTTGGAAGTAGATTTAAACAAAACTAATTGAGTTCTAGAGGAGGTGACGACTTTGCAAAAAGATAGCAAGACACTTTATTGTCGAACATGTTTTTTTTTTGCTGAAACGGGTCATAGCCCTGTTTGCTAATAGGGGTGAGGTCGATATCATTCTACTTAGTAGGCGAAACCTCAGACACCTGTCGCATACTCCAAACCCTTGATTATTTAATACATGTCAAAGTTATACTTATAGAAAGCAACTTACCAACAACAAAGAACAAATTGCGACTAGCATTAAAAGTTGACTCGCCATTTTCTCTGCCTTGTGTAAAGTGGTAAATAGGACATTCAATGACGCTGAAAAAACCCCCACTTGAGAGTATTTATAGTGGGGATTTTCCATTGTTTTTAGTGTATGTGTGTGAGTGTGTGTGTGTGTGTGTCGTTCATGAGACAACAATTCTGCAACTGGCTAGCGCGTATAGTTTGATCTATACTTATGCATTACTAATTCCCGATCAAACTTGATATTGATTTCAGACAATCTGACACTACATTTAGCCTTGGACGAATAAGACTGTGTATGTTAGAATGTTTGAGCGTGTTCTAAAACAATTACATACGCTGCTTATATGTTCATGTTCATACGTTGCAAAAAGAGTGATATCACGCTCAAAGTAATGCGAAGAATCGATTCTATATACAATACTCAGGGCACTTATACGGATCTCTTTACGTTAGCATTCTTAGTCAAGCAGTGACGCGTTGTTGGGTTATGCAACAACTTGTTTCGGCTGCTCTATTTGTACTGCCTGTACATTTATAAGAGCTTTGCACCAAGTTGTATCTATTTTTTCACCTTTACTTCACATTTTAATTGACATACAAGCTTAATAATGATTTAGATTTTTCGTGCTTTTAGTATTCACTGAGAAAAATATATAATGTTGCAACATGCGAATGGAAAATATTTTGTAATCACGCAAAGACAATGGAAAAGAAAACAAGTAAATGCGTGATCAGTACGGAGAAATTGAGTATAAATATTTGTGAAGTTGTATGAAGCGAGAGTCGGTGAATAACCATTCGAAAGCTCCAAACTGCTGTCGTCATTTCTCACTATAACAATAAACGTACAAGATGCTTTATCGATAAATTCTATTAACATAGTTATTCGGTGCATAACCTCAAATCACCTTGGTTAATTTTAATTTGAAACTGCATTTTGTAGTGCAAAAGTTAAATACTGTTTGTTGCTTCTTGGATTCATAATAGTTAGTTTCTTGTCATATGTATTTTATAATAATAATGGTCCTAACAGTGTTTATTCTGCTACCTAAAGTTGGATTGTACATGTACTACTGCTATAAGAAAAGTGATAAAAACAACTAATACATTATAAGATTACCAACATAAAAATTAATAAAGAAAATCAGTGGTTCAAATATTATATCATTCAAATTCTCTAATTAGTTTCAAAGCAACAGAAAATTTTGAGTGTCTTATGGATAAAAGCATTTGCAGAAATAACTATTTTGGTACAAGTATTCAGCGTGCCTTCGAGTTTAAGTATGTTTACTTATTTTCGGTAAGTAAATTGTTGTGCATTTCTCCAACAATACATCATTTGTTTTAAAAGTCCAATATGTTTTACAAAGACTGTAATTACTGTATAATAAATAAATAAACATTAATTACAAAGAAGCTTGTTTTTATTTTTCTGTCAATAATACAATAGCCACCAGTTGTAATGGGTTAAAAAATGCTAACTGCTCCAACGTAAATTGACAACCACATAGGTAATCTTATACATTACAGGTCCCAGAGATAAGCTCGCTTCTTAGAAACAAATGTGCGCATCCTAATCACTTCTTAAAAGCGAAGCCCTGCATGTGTGCGTACACGTGTCTGTCCAAATTGCTGGGCAAAATGTTATTTCCTTGACAATGCCGTCCATGGTTTCACAGTACTAATGGCGTATGCCAATATACAGGATGGTCATCGATATTCTAACAATCAAGATTGGCATCAATGTTTAAACTACGATCATTTTACAAACCAACTGGACTTGTCTCTGACTTAGGCTTTTTCCGAAAAGTAAATTAAAACATGCTATATATGAAATTTAGTAAATTTAGCTTTGCTTAAAAAAAATAGGCGAGATTTTAGATTTTAGATTTTCCAACAAAAAATTCTCGCCAAAATGTGCAAACGACACTGACTTTAGCTAGGCTTAATCTTGGATATTGGTGGAACCCCTTACCAAAGTGCACTTTGTTGATTTGAAGGAATTCCACCAATGTTTAAAAAACTCTAATTTAAGTCAGTGCTGTCAACATATTATCTTATCAATTATCACTTATGACAGAGTGAAACACACACTGCCAGGATACCAGAATGAAAACAAATCCTACACCGCTTAATTTTGATAATAATACGAGAAAGTTACTATTTCCTGGAGCCCACCTAACAATGCTAAAACAGGCCCGTAGCCAGCTATTTGAAAGGGGGGGGGTTCTTTTTCTGAAAAAGTGGACCTTTTACCATATAATCCCCATGTACCTAGGTCAAATTTTACCCAGAGTGGACCTTTTTCCGGCAAAAAGGGGGGTTCTTTCGAACCCCCCCTGGCTACGGGCCTGTAAAATCTAATAAGCTTCAAATGCATTTCATGGCATTTATAAAAGGTGTAAACAATAAAAGCAAGTTTGGATAGATACGAGAAAGCTACTAGTTCCTGAGACCCACCAAAAAATAAATAAAACCTAATTAGCTTTAAATGCACTTCACTGCATATATAAAAGGTGTTACAGAAAACAAACATAAGCTTGAAATGCATACATTGTAATACAGCTATCAGCTTTTCTTTCTTAGTGGACATCTTAACTTCAAGTATAAAAATTGATGTTACATACATTTATACCAAACTTAATTCTTATAAGACATACCAAGTACTGTATATATGTATTTGAAATATATAAAAAAAGGATTATAAATGTAGCCAATGGCAAGTGAAGAACTAGTCTACATATTCTAAATGCAAAAGCCTTGTGGATATAACTGAAAGAAATGCTATTAACTAAACCCCACAACCACCATTAAATGTTCTGATTACTCAAAAAACGTTGTAACAGATTACAACAAAGACCATTGAAAAAAGTGCATTGACGGGTGTGTATTTCAGGTTAGAAGAGGACGATTTTGGTGGCTTTTTATCTCTTCGAATCTGATCCCTATCCGTCACTTTGGACCGAGTGGTTTCCTTGAAACCCGTATTGTATGGCTTAGTGGTATCATTCTGTACTCTGGTGTCACAGACCCAGGAGAAATCTTGTGAACAGGCGAAATCAGCACGCGTTTGGGAGTTACTTGTACATTCCGTGAGGGGAGTTAGTTTCCTTGTTTTGGTTTTGTCATGGCGGCTCACAACATTACAACAAGAACATCTGAGGCACCTGAAATGGAATAATTATTATTCCAGTGATTTTAATCACTTATAATTAAAATTAAGTTAAAACATTTTCTTGTGAGAACAAGACAGACTGCTAGCACAGGAGTTTTTTAACTGTTGTACTGATATTGACCTCAAATTGAAAATTAAGGCTTACCTATTTTTCTTTTCAGAAAAGTATTCATGGGCCCCACATTTCTGAAACAAAAAATATGTGAATGTGCATTATAGTTCATCACAGCAGAAACAACATGTTGTGGTTTTATATTCTTTTGTACATTACAACAAGCATTGAACTGAGTCACAGTCAGTATGAGGAAATTTTCTCTCTTTATATGAAACTTCTGTAAAGATTTTTTGATATGGTCAATGTATAGTTTATGGACTAATCAAGCAGAAATCATTTAAACATTATTAATATATGTATAAAATACCTTTTCTCAAAAATATGTTAGCACACAAAAAGCAGAATAAGGGAAAAAGACCAAACAATCTTTATTTTAGTGTGCATTCACAATGAACAATAAATAAATGAATGAATGATTGAATGAATAAACAAATTTATAATAACTAAATAAAGTAGGAGAGAAAGAATAAATAAAAATGCATGTCCAACACTACCCATGCATAGAGCAATTCTTACATAACCATTGCCTATAATCATGTTCACCAGATAATTCTGAACTAGTCACGATTTCTGAATCCCACATGCAAATAAAATATTGGCTTTCGCCCAACTCCACTTTTATTTTCAGAGGCAAAATAACACAGTTAATTATAAATAATAAAAAAAATTCCAGAAGATAATATCCAACCAACTACTTTTTTTATTATATAGATCTTACCATCAAAAGGCCTTCAGCTTCTGATAATGTATCCTGTTTCTTCTGTGACAGAGTTAAAAGTTATCATATTTTAAACACAAAACAGATTTGATCATTTTCTTTCAGTTAACCTTAAATTTATTGAAATACTTTTTTTGACAATCATTTTATCGTACCTTATTAATGCCATCTGCCAAAAGCTCATTCTCGGAGGCATTAATATCTCTGTTCCAATCTGTGTTCAAATAAACAATAAAATAAGGAAAATGCATGCAGTTAGCAATAAAAGTAATATAAATAATACAACATGCTATGTATAATGAAACCCACAAAAGGGAACATGCAAAATTAATTGGAACACAACTTTAATAAAATACAAAATAAAAAAGTTAGCAGTACACAGACTTGTAATTTTGTCTTGGTACATGTATGATGAGGTAATTTTTGTGGTGGGTGAGGGAGGGGGTAACATCAATAGCTAAATACAAAACATTGTACAAAACAACAGCACATGTCTAGCTGCACATGTATCTTACCTAGGTACTTCATGTACATGTAACTAAGCACAGAGTTCTGGTTTCTAGTAGTGTTCCTAGGGAGATAATGGCCATGTCTATGCAGGTGGTTGGGGCTGCTGGGACTTCCATTTACCTACAAAGATATTGATACAAGCTACTTTCTCCACTCCACTAAATAAAAATTTTAATTTAGCAACATGATGTTGACTTGTAATTAGTTATTGATTGTCTACAAGCACAAAGTCACAGTGACCATCATAGTAGCATGATAAAATCATGTGAATATACACACAGGACCAAAATGACACTGTGATGAATATTTCAAAAGAACTTGATGGTGTTTAAATGACATGAGTTATAACCACCTTTCGCTTTTAAGGGAATTAATAGGTTGGATTTTTTTTCACACTCATTTAGATGAGGATATAAATATTGTCATAATTGAGATAATTCTATTGCATCAAAACTGGAGATAAAATTTCTAACACTAGCTGATATAATAGCAGGGTTCTGGGGTGAAAACTAGTATCAATTTCAAACAAATCCCCCTCACCTGAACACCAATCAATACTGTTTTAACAGCTTTTAATAAGTGCTTACAGAATAACTATCCCATGTCAAGAATTAATTTTCTTGTGTTTTATAAGTGCTGAGCCAACACAATGTCTTTGTTAAACGAACAAATATATTCATTATAGAGGCTCATTTCTCCTTTCAAAAATATCAAAAATGCTAGCACCAGTCCACACCCTTGTCGTCAACTATGCAGAAATGAATGTGTGGTGAAAAGGGAACAAGGGGGTGTTTTGTGCTTTAAAAACGTATATTCTCATGGCAATAAGATTAAGGTAAGTTATTTCCCGTAGAAGAAATGGGGCAAGCTGCTTTGCCTTTATATAATTATCGTATCGAATTCCCTGCCATGTGTGCCTACACCACGTCTAATACGTGTAATAATTTTCAAATCTGAGTACACATTGCTCACTACAGGAGTCCTCATCAAACAAATCCAATTAATTCAGTAAGACTATACACGTGCCACTTTTAATGGTTTTCAAATCAAAATTCTTTGTGTACACTTTGAATCTGAAAAAAATCTCTTAACTGTTGAATTATTTAAGTTGGGAATGTATACTGCGCTGTCATATCTTTTCAGTTTCAGTGTAACACAGTGCCATTGATTGCTATATTTAGAAAACGGTGATTTTATAACGTTAACCATTGGGTGGGGCTTTTTTTCCTTACAGTCCCTCTTCATTAATAATTACTAATTCATACTTTTTCATTGTAGATCTACAATCAATGTGCCTGTATTATTTATACAATATAGGCCTACATTAACAAAAAATGACCCGGTCCTACTGGTGTAGATAACCATATACAGGTGTAATTATCTGTCTTTTCTAAAGAGAAGCAAATCACTGGAAAATCTCCCTTGTCTTTTAAACGAACTGAAACGAAACGAAATTTAAACGAGCTTTATCTAAGTACTACATACATATAGTCTTACCCACTGTAAAATGATGGCTAAGGAAATTACAGACACTATCATCTTTGCCACCCACGATCTCCTCGTGTTAAGGATAAAGAGAGGGAGATTTTTCAGTGAATATCCGAACTAAAAATAGTACTTCCGCTAAGCCAGGGTCAGTTCCGTTATTTGTGATCAACAGGTATGTCTGTCTTTATTTCCTCCAAAACATAAAGATAAGATCATGATATATGGAACATGCAAACAACAAGTCTAAACACCTCTTTCAGACACAGAGAAGAGGAAAGTTCATTTTGAGTTGGTGGATTTTAGGATTGAAGCCTGAAGCTGACAGGTTATATATAAAACTGCAACGAATACGAGGAGGCTGATGATGGAACGATTGGTGTGGCTCCTGTTGTTTTTAAGTGTCATATTCAGCCAGGCTGTCAACACTGTGGACGTCGATCCAAACGGTTATGTAGTATACTGTCCTTGTATGGGTACGTATTGGTACTGGGAAAATATGCTAGAATGATCGCCACAGGCAGATGCATGTACGCTGTTCTCCCACCATGACATCAATGTCGGTTGAAATTGAAATCTCGTATCTGTTACTAGTGTCATGTCGTTAACAGTTCTGAAATAATGACCATCGTCATTATTAGGAAAATGGCCTTAGTAATTGTGTCTCTTCAATCTTCAGTTTATTGTATTTCTGCTTTGCTTTGCAGTGCATGTTCATATACAAATTATGGGGTTACCTAATGAGCCACGTTTACTTAACCAGTGGGCTATACATGTATACAGTTCATACATGTATATATGGCAAATTGTCTTTCTCTCTCCCTCTCTCTCTCTCTCTGTTTGTAATGAGGAAGGGGGGTGATATCATTTACATCCTATACTTAAAAATGTAGTTATAATGCTCTTAAAGGGGGACTGCTCATTCAGATTTCAATTTATAGGTCGCTTTGGGAATCAGGCAGATCACTTTCTCGGATCTCTGTCATTTGCTCATGGCTTGAACAGAACCCTGGTGCTTCCCCCTTGGGTAGAGTACAGGACAGGAGAAAGGAATTCTGTAAGTTTTAATATATCCTAGCTGTGATTTAATTGTCTGATTATTCAGTTTAAACACACTCCCATTCCTAGCCGTTATCATCTTACACAATGCTTGGATGAATAAAATGTTTTATTCATCTAAGCACAATGCATGTATTGTCAGACTCATTCAGAAGTAATTGTGTTAAAAATATCAAAAATATCCCCCAACTTATTGTCAGTTATATTATGCAGTTGCCGATCTTTGTAATGCTCTCCTGAAATTCAATTAAATTGCAAGCTCAGCGATGCGGGATTCATCTAGAAACAAACAAATGAGGGTCCTCTGCCTGTTCTGGAGGTTTTTAAATGAATACCCCGTATTTCAATATTTTTGTTTCCTCAGGTCCAAGTGCCCTTTGACACATATTTCCAAGTAGCTCCTTTACAAGACTACCACCGTGTTATGACAATGGAGAAGTTTATGAAAGAACTGGCACCTGTAATTTGGCCACCAGGAAAAAGAACAGGTGACTTCAGCTTCTGTCATATTAGTGTCCTTTTTTCATGGTAGTATCTATTGGGGATGAGCACAAGTTTAGCTTTCCAGGTGTGAATAAAGCAATGGTATAAAGGTTTAAGACATTGTCC